AATTCATTGTATTATATTCAAAACTGAGTTTCATGGTTTTAAAAAATATCTTTGCATTACCTACTGAAGTGAACCAACGAATTTTAAGGAACTGATTGAGTCAAGGCTTGGAGCAAGGAAAGTTCAAGATTAGCCTGCTAGGTCAGGTAACAAGTGTTTTCAACAAGTTACGTATATAAGGAATGTACCTAAGTATAAGAGCTTTTCTTACTCAGGTAACAGAAGCAAAACAGACAAATGAGATTATATCAAACTAAAAAGCATCTGGAAAGCTAGAGCAACAATAAGACAAAGTTACAACTTATGGAATGGGAGAAAATATTACAAACCTACATCCGATAAGATAACTTTATACTTTTTTTCTACTTTTAAATTTTATTTTAAATCATTATAAATTACTTTTTTCTTTGAATAAATATGTGCTGTTTAAAAATTAGAAAAGTATATACTGCATCTTTAAGTAATGCACTTTGCTCTCTGGGCTTCTTTTCATTCCATCTTATTTAAAGTGAAATAATTAAAAATAATGTTACTTTATATTTAATGGTGAAAAGTTGAAAGCATTTCCTCTGATATCAGGCAAGGATGCCCATCCTTGCCACTTCTGTTTTAGGTAGAGCTAAAAGAAGTTTTAGCTAGAGCAATTAGGCAAAGAAAAAAAAAAAAAAAAAAAGGAAGAAGTTCAACTGTCTCTCTTTGCAGATAACTTGATCTTATATATAGTTAACCCTAAAGACTACTCCAATAACTGTTGGAAATAATAAACAAGTTCAGTGATATTTTAGGACATAAACTTAACATACAAAAATGATTAGCATATTTATTCACTAGGGACAAACTCTCCCCCAAAGCAGTCAAGAAAATAATCCCATTTATAACAGCTACAAAAATTAAATGGAATAAGTTTAACTAAAAAGAAAAAAAACTATATACTGAAAACTATAAAACACTTATGAAAGAAACTGAAGAAGACACAAATAAACTTTTGTGTTTATGTATAGGAAGAAATGATATTGTTAAATGTACATATTACTCAAAGTAATCTACAGATTCAGTGTAATCACCATAAAAATTGAGATGATGTTTTTCACAGAAACAGAAAAAAGCAATCCTAAAATTTGTATGAAACTATAAAAGACCTTGAATAGACAAAATAAGCTTGGAAGTTTCACACTATTTTAAAAACATACTACAAAGCTATAGAAATCAAACTAGCATGATAGTGGCATAAAAAGATATATAGATAATGGAACAGAATAGAGACACTAGAAACAAATCTATTGATTTATGATAAATTGATTATTCAAAGATTTGCTATTAACAAGCAATAAGGAAGAGTCTTGTCAATAAATAGTATTAGGAAGACTGGATATCCATTGCACAAAAATGAAATTAGTACCTCATTTCTGACATTATTTACAAAAATAAACTCAAACTGGATTAGATATCTAAATTTCAGACCTAAAAATGTAAATTACTAGAAAAAATGTAGAAGATAAGCTCCATGACATTGGCCTAACTAATGATTTTTGGGGAAGGTATGACTCAAAAGCTCAGGCAACAAAAATAAAATAGACAAATGAGATTACAGCAGTCTGAAAAGCTAAGGAAACAAAAGAATAAAGAGACAATCTTTGGAATGGGAGAAAATATTTACAAACCACACATCTGGTAAGTCACTACTATCAAAATTTATAAGGAACTCAACTCATTAGAAAGCCAATTATAAAACAGGCAAAGGCTGTGCACAGATATTCACAAACATATAAATGGCCCACATGTATATAAAATTTTTCAATATCAGTAGCTATCAGAAAAATATAAATTAAAACCACAGCAAAAGATCCCATCACTACCTGTTAGCTTGGGTGTTATTAAAAAGTCAAAAGATAACAAATGAGGGTAGAGATTAACTCAGTGTTTCTGCTGCCTGCCTTGCAAGTGCAAGGTCCGGAGTTTGATCCCTGGTACCAAAAACAAAGAAACAAACAAACAAACAACCGTCCCCCAAACAAAAGATAACAAGTGGGTGGGGAGAATGTGGAGAAAAGGGAACCCTTGCATATTGTTGGTGAGGATGTAAATTGGTACAACCATTATAGAAAACATTATGGAGTTTCCTTAAAAAATTAAGAATAGAACTACCATATGATTCAGTAATCCTACTTTTGGGTTTTATTCCCAAAAGAAATGGAGACAATATATTGAAGAGACATACAGATTTCTGTTTTCATTGCACCATGATTCACAGAAGCTAAGATATGAAAATCAGTCAAGAAGTCCATCAATGAAAAAATAAAAAAGCATGGTGCATGGTGCATGGTGTATGCACAGCAGTACACAAGTCACCCTTACAAGAAGGAAATCTCATCATTTGTGACTGCAGAGATGACCTGGGGTCATTATGACAAGTGAAATAAGCCAGGCACAGAGACAAATACTACTTGTTCTGTTCATATTATGTTTATTTTATACTTTATTGTAAGTTTTTAAGAATGATCTTACTTTTATGTGTAATTAAAAAAATCAAACCCAGAGAAGTAGAGCAGAATAGTGATTATCAGGGTCTTGGGAGGGGGAAGTAAAAGGAAAGTAAGGGAATGCTCAAAACCCAGGGTAGAAGCATATCAAGTAAAAGCCTGCTCACAGGGTCCACACTGGCCAAATCAGGGACAACTTCATCAAAATGAACAATGGCAGTAATGGATTATAGCACACTGAAAGAAAAACATGAGTCATACTGATATTAATGAATAGGAAGAAAGAAAAAGGAAAAACTATTTTTTTCAGTAAAATATATCTAATACCTATACAGGAATATAAATACAGGACCACAACACTAATCAACTTGGTAGGAATCATAACTGGAGTGCTCAGATGATAGTTTTGAGGTAGAATATTTACATGAAGAATTTTGCTACAAATAAAATTCATCTGGAATCAATTTTGGATGTCTAAGAGGAGGTGAGAATCTAGACTGATTTTCCTCCAAAATAATACTAGTTTTCTATCTTTTTCTCCACAGAAATCAATCTGTAAGCTCACATAGATAATGGATTTCAAGCCTTCTGAGGATGTGGACTTTTGTCACAGTCACAGTTTTATCCTGAGTGAAATGCCTACCTAATACATTGCTGGTCCAATTAGTGACAAAAAATGTCAAATTTGTTTCTTTTTACCATATATATGGAGCTTCTTTTTTTTTTCTTATTCATTAATTTTATTGGTATATTTAGGTTACATGGAGCATCTTTGTACAATATGTACTTCTTTCCTGGACTATTTATATTTTATTATAGATTCATGAACTATTAACAATCGGTAGGTTCACTTAATGACTTTTTTTTTGAGACAAGGTCTTGATATGTAGTTCAAGATGGGCTTGAACTTACTATGTAGTCCAGGCAGGCCTTGAAGTCATGGTGATCCTCCTGCCTCAGCCTCCCAAGTGCTAGGATTATAGGCATGCACCACCAGGCCTGGAAAATTTAAGGACTTTTTTGTTTGTTTTTTGAAAGAAGGCAGTGACTTGAGCACCCTTATGGGTTGACAAAGAGGAATTCATTGGAAAAGGTTTGGCTGCAGATACAGTGTAAGTTTCCAGAGACTGGGCAGATTACACTGGGACAGAAGAGGCTTCTCTCTCCCAGAGGTAAGAGAGGAAGGGAGGCCAGGGCAGAAATGGGTGCAGGTCAGTGTGTATTGGGGGTAGTTGGGTCCTTAGTCATTGTACCCAAGGTAACTTTTTTTTGTCTTGGAGAGATGAGCTTCTCTGGTGAAAATGCTAATCAAAGTAATGGGAGGGGGAGGTTTGGAATAGTCGTAGTAAAGAATGGAAGAGGAAGCTGAATAGAAGTTCCAGGATGATTGGTGAAGGGCCCCGTTGAGAATAACCTGCCAATCTGCAGGTTTATGTGGCACACAGCTCCAGCAGTTGAAGAGACCAACTCAGGAGAACTGTGTGGAGATTTGCCAAAAATTTTGAAGAAAAGGATATGCAGAGTTGAATTAAAAATAGCACCTCTGATTTCAGTCAAGAGGTTTGGTCATATTTTCTACAATTACTTCCACAGCATTCTGAACAGGAAAAATATGACGATCATACCAGCAAGGCTGAACAAGTCAGAACTTAGTAAATTTATCTGCCTTCGCATTTACAGTACAAAATTAGAATGAACATGACCTACTCTGTGTCAGGCATTGTGCCAATTGCTTTATTGCATTATTTTACATAGCACTCAAAACAGTAGGTATGAAATGGTATTGCTGTTTTTTAGCCCAGATAACAGGCACACTTTGGGTAAATGGAGAATGGGAAGGTGGAGGGGAAAGGGTATGGAAAGTGATAAACATATGAGATATGTATGTAGCAATTCCCCCGAACGAATGTATCGCAAACATACATTAATAAAATTAAAAATTCACTCCCCCAAAGAAATGAGCTATTTGTTTAGGGCCCTCTGCTTGATGTGGTGAAGCTTGCAAGTCCCACGGCAGCTTCTTATCCCTGAACTGCTCTGTGCTACACACGCAAAGGCCAGTCCACAACACGCCGAGAATGCCCATTGGAACTAGCACATACGGTAACCGCGGTCCCGCCAGCACCGTCCGGTATCCAGGGCACCCCGCGTCCAGCCGCGAGACGCTCACGCGCCCTGCAGTCGTTCTGGCTTCCGGTGGTAAGGCCTAGGCGACCCTTTCTCTGTCAAACTGAGGAGATCGACACTATCTGTGCTGGACTGCTCTTGCCTGAGCATCTGATTTGAGCGTCGAGTGGGTCGGGAGCAAGGGGAGGAAGCCTGCCCTCCAGAAAGATTGCGGATTGGAGGAGAGGAGGAACAGGGGGCGGAGCCTGGGGGGTGGGAAGCAAGACGCCGCATCAACAGTGTAAGCAATTTCGCTTCCTGCAGCAACCGCCGGCTTGCTCGAGTGTCGGGAGGCTTCGCTTCGGGCGGGCTTCCTGCACCTGATCAGGGTGAAGCGGTGATTAGGGCTGAGGGAGGCCTGCGGGGTGGGGCGGGAGGTACAGGTACAGGTACAGGAGGGAGCCTGGGGTCCAGCCCTCTGGGGCTGGTAGTGGGGAGGAGGCCGGCTTGGGTCGCGCCGGGCCAGAGTGGAGGAGAAGCCGGGGTAAAACGAGCACCTCAGCTCTATCGCTGGGGTTTGGAGGCCGGGCTGTGTCCGCGGCTGGGCCGGGACGCGCGGAGGACGTGTTCAGAGAGTTAGCGGGCCTCCCGGGTCCCAGGCCGCCCTGTCAGACAGGGTACGGCAGCCGGGAGGGGCGCGTCTTGGAGGTTCCCAGACACCTGCAGTTGCCCTGCTCCTCGGTCCCTGAGCGCGAACTTACTTGGGAGGTGGGTGAGCTGCAGAGGGAAGTTCTTTACCAGTCTCGAGGTTGCCGATACCTATATATCTCCCTGAATTTTTCTGCCATTTGAGACAACTCCGCCTCAGTATATTTCAAAAGTCTTTTTTGAGGAGACTTGCTTTCCCAGTTTTCCCAGTCAGTACTGCATTTCCATTATTAAAAGAATGTTCTGAACAAAAGCATAGGATTGGAGTGGGTGGGTGCTTCTAGGCCTTTGAGGGGGGCCTTCTGTCTAGTTTAGTAGTGATTATTCTTAAGATATCCAAAACATGAGAATCGCTAGGACTTTTGTGTAAAGTGAGTTATTTCTCACGTGATTTGTTAAATTATCAAGTATTAATTCAGTGCAAAATTAGTACAATATTGTCAGTAGTGGTAGTTGTTTGTCATACTGCCCTGTCTTATTTCTGATTTATTCGAATCTTGTTTTCTGCCACTCAAAAACTCCCATCTTGCCATTATTCTTACAAAAGAATGTTTTTAGTTTTTTTCTCTTTGGTTTGGGCTTGTGAGAAAGATTGGTTAAATCTCTTCTGAGAAGCAAGACAAATTTCCTGAGTCCTCCGTTTTTCTTCTTTCTGGGAAAAGTAATGTGGATCATGTAATTTTTTTTTCATTTACTGTTTAAGTTGATGTATCAGCCAACAGTTTATCAAAAAAGATTTCTTGATGGAAGTTAATGTTACTAGTATTCAACTGTCTCACGTTATCAGATAAATTTTGGGTATTTAAAAAAAAAACCTGTAGTTAGAAATGACTGGACTGATATGTGTATTTTCCACCTGAAATTTTGCTGTTGGACAACAGGTCCACTTTCTATATTTTAATACCTGAGTAGCTTTCTGACTGGCTTTAGCAGCAAGAGAGTGGTAATAGGGCAGCATATACTGTACTAGCCTTGAAATAGAAAAAGGTTAAGTTACTGGTGGGATGGAGGTCTTTAGATAATAGGTTAATATTTCTACCCATCAGTAAAGATTCTTAATTAATAAAGTTATTAAAGTGCCAAAAAAAGAACTGTAATGTAGTTTTATCAGGATCTTGGTGTCCTATAACTTAACGTTTCAGAGACTGCATTGGCTGCATGTTTTAGTGACATTTTTATCTTCATATTCCAAAGCCTAATGAAAATTTTATGTCTAGGTGACCTGCAGATTGCTAACTCTTGTTTGTGATGTTACTTTTGAGGAAGAAGAATGTAGGCTGTTTTTCAAGGCTTTGAGAGTTGTCATTATCTTTTGTTTAATTTGCTGTTGTTTTTTGGTCATTCTGGGTGCAGTGCTTTGTTCATTCTAGGCAAGCACTCCACTACTATCTACACCCCCAGTCAGAAAACTTGGGTTTAGACTTTTTTTTTTTTTCCAGATAGAGTCTCATTAATGTAGTTTAGGCTAGCCTGGAACTCACTATGTAGCCCAGGCTGGTTGAACTTCTGGGGATCCTCTTACCTCCGGCACATGCCAACACCTGGCTAGAAAATTTGGTTTCATACTTGAGCAGTTACCATCGTATTTCCCAAACTTTTATCTTGGATTATAGGTTATCATGATATTTTAGGATTATTTTCTTCTGTTCCCTAAACAAGTTGCTATCAGTGACCTTCCTTCCTTCTCTCCTGTCTCCTATTCTTCTTCCTTCCTCTTTTTTTCCTCTTTCTCTTTTTTTCTTATAAACATTTATTGCCCAAAATCCTGTTCGAGTCAATGGTTTCATTTCTGCTTTAATTTATTAGTCAGTTATGAATCAGGCAAAGCCTTAAGTAGTTAGAGAATATAAATAAGCTAGAATGGAAGTGTGTGAATTTTGATCTAAAGAAGAACTTTGCTGTTAGACGTGGGATTTAGTTACAAGTTTACTACCATCTCTGACCCTCTAAGGAAGTTGTAGGTTCACTGTATGTTGGTTGCCTCAGAGGTAAATTGTAGTAATAAGGCCCACTCTGGGCCTTCCAGGATTAGTGTAAAAATAAAATGAAATGGTAAATATGATCTTGAAGGAGAAAAGCATTGTATAAGAGTGTAATATCCTCTTTGTAAAGTATATAGCATTTTAATAACTGAAGGGTTATACTTCTTGTTTTTGAAGTATAAATTTAAATGGCAAGCAATAAATCTTACCACTCTCTTGTAACCTCTCACTGGTGATTTACTGCTTTGACTAAGTTACTATTTTTCATTATTTAGAAGCCCATTTAGAAGATCTTTATCCTTAATCTGTATAAGTTTAGGCTTAAAGAGAAAACCCAGGTTCATGTACCTAGGATGAAAGATGATCGAGAACAGCGTATTAATTTGAATAGTTGTCATAGGTTATGAGGGATGGCTTGAGCTCATTGTGGAGATTATGTGGAAGTGTCATTATAGGATGACTATTTCATTCCTTTTCTTGAATATATTTATTTTTGTTATTTTTTTAAAGAGAAATGTTGAAATAAGTAAAATAAGGCTGAGAAATTTATGTGGTTATGTAAAACCATTTTCCCCCATAACTTTAAAAGTTACTATCATTATTTTAAAAAGTTATAGAGCCATAATGATGTGAAAATGCTTCCCCCTCCTTTTGGCCTCTTTACACTTATGGCTTTTCTGAAAAGTTTAATTCATTTTAAGTTTTTGAGTATTTATATGAAAAATAAATTGGGTTTATAATAATAGTTTTAGGTGCCCAGAGTCTTTTGCTGTAGGCAGCAGTCTTTTAAGCCTTAACTTAAATATGCTAAACTAGTTTTACTTTTTGATTTTCATAGATAATTGTCACTGAATAGGATTTTCCAGATGTTTGCATGTTGTTTGGAATCAACTTTTGGTTTCTAAGAAACTTATATCTCTTGCTTGTTTCTCTTTCTCAGACTCATGAAATGGCCACAGATGATAAGACTTCCCCAACCCTGGACTCTGCTAATGATTTGCTTCGATCTCCTACTAGTCCTTCTCATCTCACACACTTTAAACCTTTGACGCCTGATCAGGATGAGCCACCTTTTAAGTCAGCATATAGTTCTTTTGTAAACCTTTTTAGATTTAACAAAGGTAAGACTTGTTCTTAATGATCAGAAAACTTCTCGTTCTGATTCTTTGCAGTTGCCTCTTTTAACTTTCAGTCTGTCTTTGCAAGAAAGTGAAATACTAAAAAGGTGATGGCTTTAATCATAGGTCCCTACGACTTTCTGCTTAAGCAGAAAAAGCTAGAATTTTCACTGCAGTGTCCTTGATTATTTCTAACTGGAAGTCTGCATTTAAAACTAAATGTTAAAAGGTGGTCCCTTTGAAAAGATAGAGTAGCATTTTGTTGTTCTTAAAAAATTTTATTAATGTGCTTTAATTTTTTTAAGTTCACAGAATGGACTTTGTTTTTAGGAAGTTAATAGCAAAGAGATTTTAATTAAAGTGCTGAGGAAGCAGTGCATGGGAGGGAAGGTTTTCATTTTTAAAAAGTTGGAAGCTTTTAGTAGGACTATTGTGACAACTCTGTAAGGTGTATGTGATATGAAATGAAAAGTATTTCTATTTCTGTTTTGATTTTTTTGTTTTTTCAATACAGGGTCTCACTGTGTAGTTCAGTCTGGCCTTGAACTCATGGTCATCCTGCCCATAGCCTTCCCAGTGCCAGAATTTATAGGGATATGCTACCACGCCTGGCCAAAAAGATACTTTTAAAATGAATGCTCCTTAAGTAATATGTTTTGTATCTGAAAGAAGACTTTAAAAAAATATGGTCCTGTCTTTTGCCTTCATTTTGTCTTTGTTGTTTGAAGTATGTTAGAAAGTAATCCTTGTAAGGAATTTAGGGGATTAATAGTTTAATCAATTTAGTAGAAATTTTAGTAATTCTAACTGAATTTCTTTAGTGGTCATGTTTAACATCCTCTAAAAACTGTTAGTATGTTTTTGAGACTGACTTTTTAAAAAATAAACTATGTTTTAGAATAGTTTTACTGAAAAAGTGGAAAGATAGTACAGCAAGTTCCCAGGTACTCCCACACTGATTTTCCTCCTTACTATATCTTACTTCAGTATGGCATATTTATTATGATAAATGAACTATTGATGTATTTTTATTACTATATATATTGTTTTGTTCAGATTTAAAAAAATATTTACCTAATATTTTTCAGAGTTCCATCCAAGATTACATATTACATTTAGTTGTTATAAAACATAACTATTACTTTAGCAAATAATTTTTTGTTTTGTTTTGTTTTTTTTGATTCTCGGGATCGAACTCAGGACGTAGTGCTTGCGAGGCAGGCAGCGGCACCACTGAGCTAAATCACTGGCCCTAGCAAATAATATTTTTATGCTTAAATATGTCATCATGTAACTCTTTTATCGAAGCAAAACATTTAGTGGCACATTTTAGATATACGTAATGATAACATTTATTATAAGGAATTTACCTGTACATGATGTATCTTGCTTCTTTTTCTTCCCCCATTCACCCTTTCACCCTTTGGCCCCTTCTCCTCCTTATTTATAAAAGCTTTGTCTCCATTTTTTCCTTCTATTCTCTTTTTTCTTCTTGTCCCTTTTTCTCCCCCCTCCCCCCTCCCTTGTTGCCTTTTTTATTTGCACATTTTCTTCCCATTTTCCAATATTTATTAATACATTTTGGTCCTGATTTCCACTTTTGGTTTCCCACACCAGAAAAACAATGTATTTAAACATGTGTGTCCAATTTCACTTAAGACTATGGTCTCAAGATGTATCAGTTTAGCTAGAGATGGCTCAAGCTTATCCTTTATGGCAGAGTTGTACTCCTGTGTTTAAAAAAAGCCACATCTTTATCTTTTCACCAGTTGATGGGCATTTGGGCTGTTTCCAAGATTTAGCTATTACAAACTGTGCTGTTATAAACATGGGTGGGTGTGCATATATTGCTGTGGTATGATGTACTTTAGCAAATATTTATTGAGAACTTAGAAACTGTTCTAACAGTGCAAGGGATGTGTCCCATAGTCAGAAAATCTAGACCTTCATGTGACTCTTCATTCTGTTTTTAATACGATCAAATAATTTTAAATGAAATGTAAAGCATGTATATCATGGTACCAATGACATGATGATTAGCCTGTAATTTTGCCCTATTCTTTGAATTTTTTCTTTAAAAAAATACTGTAATTTTAAGTTATGTATATAACATACATTGTTGTCTGGAATATTTTAAAGAATTTTAGGTTTTTTAATAATGCAAAGCTTTCCTTTGCTACAGAGAAAGGAGAGGCAGGTCAAGGAGAGCAGCAGTCTCAAAGTGGAAGCTGGTCCAGCCCTCAGCTCCCTTCGAGGACACAGTCTGTGAGGTCACCTATTCCTTATAAAAAGCAGCTCAATGAGGAACTGCAGCGGCGTTCTTCAGTATTAGGTACAGCAGTGTTCTCATTTCATGCCTTCTGTATGTCAGGTTTTTCTGTTGTATTCTGTTTGGGAGATTGGTGATTTAACTTTCCTGCTGTTCTTAGGTAGTGAAATAAACAAAGCTGTTTCTTAGGTAGTGAAAGAATTTGTTGATACCTGAAAGAATTCTTAAACATGTCAATAAATTTTAATTTAGGAGTGGCACAATCCTCTTGACTTTTTTTTTCTTCCTTACTTGGGTTTCAGCAGAAAACAGTTTGCAGCATTCCCAAGAGAACACAGGTCAGTTTCAACTTTGTGAATGAATTTTGTGCCTGTTATTGGGATGCTAATGTGCATGCCTCTGGCTGTAGAACTATCAACTCCATTACTAGGCTGCCACTTGCTACTAACTTCTGTCCTTGTTGGATGTGAATTGCCAGTGTGACTGTATAAACTGAGCTCCCCTTGCCTGCTTGTTCTCCACCCTGGTCTACTATGCAGCCATCTTCATTTTTGTGCTCTTCTGAGTGTGGGGCGAGGATCGGTGTCTGAAGTGAGAGACTAGAGGAAGTGATGGTGGTTTATGTATTAGTTCTGTTAGACTGTTAAGGGTGCCCAATTCAAGGTGAAGGAATGAGGGGAGTGGGACACAGCATTGAGAATCAAATGTCCCTGAACACAGGATCCCGTCTGGTCCATCCTGATTTCCCCATGAGGTTCCTGAATGAAAAATAGCCATAATAGTAGGCTGCAAAGGGATATTTTATTGCCAGTTGAAATTGGTCTACAAAAAGAAGGAGGAGGAACCAAGAAGAAGTTTCTACTGAAAGACTGGAGCAGAACCTCCACAGGTTTTTCTTGGGTGAGCCTCTGCCTGGGCTGTGTCATCAGCGGTTTGGAAGGAAGAGTTGGAAGGCTGGGAGAGGGAGAGAGAAATGGGAACTTCTTTTATTCCAAACCATATCCGCTTTAGCCTTTAGGCTCAATAAATGCTCCTTAGCTTTTGAACTTGACCCATGGAAACACTTTTTGTTGAGGGAGTTCTTGTGACTCCTATGCTGAATTGAGATGTTGTCTGAAAAATTTTATCTACTGCCTCTTCTTTGATGAACTCTTGAGTTTTAAGTTTTGTAAACAACACCAAACTTTCCTTTGCTACAAAGAGAGGAGAGGGGAGCCAAGAAGAGTAAGTGTTTCTGAATTAAGCGTAGAATTTCTTCGCCTGTCAAACTGAGGAATGGACTAGAATCTGATCTTTTAGGGGTTAAAGCCAAACTTTGCTTGTGAAGGTGTGATAAACTTAACTTCAATAAACATCTCTAGGTGGAGCTTGTAATGTCTTTTTTGCTGTAGTTCCTGCTCTTCATTGCCTTGATCAAGTATTCCTGTTTCTTCAATTCTAACTTTCAGGCATTTGAGTTTCAGAAGCCTGGGACTGTTTGGCCCAACAAGTTCCTTTCTCTACTAAAAGGCTGTAATTCTACAATTTACCTCATTCTCTGACCTTGGGGAAATTTAATTCTGTAGTATCTGTTTAGTTAGAGAAGCAGCTAAGACTATTTGAGTAAGGGCAAAGAAATAGACCACATTTTCTCTCAGGGTCTCTTCATCATCTTTTTTTATTTTTTATTAAAAAAATTCTTTTTCGTCTTCTTTTAAGTTCAGTGATTCTTGTGGTTCCAGGAAGGACCTCACTCAGCCTTTCCAGTGGATGATGCTGTTTATACTTTGTTAGAATTTGTTGCCCATGCCTGGGAATGCTGTCGTTATAATTCTCACAGTTTCCTCTGTGTCCTTTTTCACCTTGTAAATCATGGAGAGTTTCTTTACCTTTTGAGATGCAAGGAAAAAGTAATCATTCTAAAACATATATTAGTAACCATACATCTAAGGTCTATACTGAAATTAAGGTATAACTATAGAAAAATTAAAGTTTTCAAAAATATTTTAGATTTGGTAATTATTTTAGTAATTAGTTTCTTAGGAAGTTCTTTATAAATTTGGATTTAGATATCAAATTGCTATTATTTTGTAATCCTTTCTAGAATACCTGACCAACGCCCCCCCCCCCAAAAAAAAACACAAGTAATGCAAACCTAGCAAATAGTGAGTTTGAGGAGATTCAGGGCGGGATATTTTCCATTTTACAGTAACTCCTCTTGTCTGTGGAAGATATGTTCTAAGGCTCCCTGGTGGATGTCTGAAACCACAGATTGTACCAACACAATATATACTACACCTTTTCCTATACATATATACCTGTGATAAGGCATAGTAAGAGTAATAACAATAACGTAATAAATAAAATAATTATAATCTAATAATAGTTCCATGGTCTTTCTTGAAAGAGTCAAGGTAAATATATTTTCAGACTGAGGTAGATTGTAGGTAATTTGAACCTTGGAATATGAACCTAGATAAGGGGAGACTGCTTAAGTTGGGGAACCCTATAGGTTATTAGGTTACTAGGTTTAAGCTGATAGAATGTTTAAACTAATAGGGTGTTTTTTGTCAAAGTATCTCCATTTTATCCTTAGGTTTTAAAACTGGGGGAGGCAGGAATAGTTAGAAAGCTCAGTTGTAATTTTGGTGTAAAATAAGGAAATAATAGGTGGCAACTTTGGTGGGTATATCCTGTTCTGGCCACAAAGCTGGTTTGCTTTAGTACCCATAGATTTGGCTTCTGTGTTGCTGCTTCATATGTCAGTTAAGCTGCAGGGTTTGGGAGATGATAGGAGGAGTAGGATTGGAGTTTTAGCAATCCTCTGGCAGTTTAGTGTGCTTGGATCTTGGTCATATTTACCATGGTAAAATTTAACATTCCAGATATTCTGAAGTTTTTAGAATCTTTGGGGGCTGGGCTATTATATTACATTTCTTTCTGATGATCTGCTCCAGAACTGAACTGTTTGATCCTAATGCCTGCCTATTTGACTTTTGATATGAAGCTAGGTTTAAGACTCTGGGATTGCCTTTTCTTCCAGTAAATGTCCAGCAGTTATTTGTTATAGGTTGGGATCAAAGGGTGTCAGAAATCATTAATAAGTTCTGGCTATGTAAGTGATACTTCCCTGTCCCAGTCCTGAGAACCATCAGTCATCTCAGACATTTCTTGTTTCATATAAGTCCTTACTGCTTATGAAACAGTGTTTTACATTGTAATAAATACTTTAGCCAGGGCCATGGTGCACGCCTGTAATTTCACCATTTGGGAGGCTGAGGCAGGATTGCAAATTCAAGTCTTGCCTGTACAATTTAGTGAGGCCCTCTCTCCAAATACAAAGTAGAAAAGGGTAGGAGTGTAGCTCAGTGAGAAGGCCCTGGGCTCAAGCCCCAGTACTGAAAAATAAAAACAAGAAATCCCAGAAAACTTTCAGTAACCTGTTACTCTAATTCTTAATCCGTATCACTGGGGGAATATAAATATATACTAAAATAGGAGACACCTTGCATCACATATATACGATGTTGTATATAGATAACTAGGAACTATTAGCAAGATTGCATTTTTTTTTTTTTAATCTGACTCAGACACAAGAAGGAAAGCAGAACCTACCTTTGGAGGTCATGACCCTCGTACAGCTGTTCAGCTTCGAAGTCTCAGCACAGTATTAAAACGTCTCAAGGAAATCATGGAGGGGAAAAGCCAGGTACTGTTGGGAGATTTCTTACTAAGTACTTTTAGGGATCATTTCATACCAACTGAAAATGGCATAATGCCTCTTGAAGGAAAGTTGGTTTATTACTTTTTCAAGCTATCAACCATATTTTTAACACATAAGTACTTAGTTTTATTGTGTTCTAACTTATCAGTTTTCCCCCCTTTTATAATTAGTACTTTTAGTGTTCTGTTTAAGTGTTTATTAGGTCATAGTAATAGATACTCTTTAAGAAGTTTTATTTGTGTGACTAGGGTTCAGTTTACTTTTGGTCCTCTTGGGTGTCCAGTTGGACCTAACACCGATATTTTGAAGTAACCACCCTGTTCTGATTTTGTTATGAATCTCATATACATGTGAAGAGAATGTTGGAGAGCTCTCTTCTGTTCTATAGCTCCTTCTCTGTTTTTATTAAATCTTTGCACCAATACTCTGTCTAAAATTATTTTAGCTTAGAATAAGTCTCAATGGCTAGTAATAAATCCTTCAGTTATTCAAGATTGTCTTATTTTGGCCTTTTGCAATCTGTATGAATTTTAGAATTAGCTTGTCATTTTCTACAAAAGAAATCTTGGGTTTTATTTGCCATTGCAACTTAATCAGTGTTTTCAAGAAGACTTCATACATTTTTATTGTTATAGGATAGTGACCTGAAGCAGTACTGGATGCCAGATAGCCAGTGTAAAGAATGCTATGATTGTAGTGAGAAATTTACAACCTTTAGACGCAGACACCATTGCCGATTGTGTGGGCAGATCTTCTGCAGTCGTTGCTGTAATCAAGAAATCCCTGGAAAATTTATGGGCTATACAGGTAAATGCATTTTATTGACAGTATTATAATTTTAAAGGTCATGGCTATAAGATAGTTACAACTATAAATGGAAAGCTAATATTTATTTTGGGCTTTATATGTAAGAATCAGGGACACAATGGTGAAGGGGACATAGCTTTGCTCTTAAGAATTTTATAGTTGAGTAATGAAGTAGACGAGAGTGTTCATAAATAATTAGAGTAAAAACCATTATATCATACATACTAGCAAAACACTATAACAGCATTAAAGATTCTTAGACAATGTGGTTATAGTAGATTTCTAATTTATGTTACTGTGAGCATTTTTATTTTACAAAATAAACATTTTCCTTGACTTAATATGATACTGTGTTTTGGCAAATTGTGTCTTACAGTGTTCTATAAAGAACACAGTCTGGTTTTAGCAGTACAGAAAATTGAATTTATTTGTTGAAACATTGATTTGGGAGTAGAAGATAGCAGAAATCACCCAAAAGAGAACACTGAACATCTGTCTTATTTTTGTTATTATGCAAATCTTTCTGTTGTTCACTTTTAAAAATCTAAATGCTACAGCTTTCAGAATTTCCATTATTTTTCACCCTGATTAAGACTCTGGCTTTAAAGAGACATTTTTACCATTGGCTTTTTCTATATTGAACTCATTTTTCATATTCTATGAAATTTTTCATGCTTTCATATTACTTTATGAAATGCTAATTTGATCATGTTATGGTATTCTCTGCCTAATATACTTTGAACACTACCATTACTTTTAGGACAAAACTTAGGTGAATATGGTTAGTGTTTTAGTTTCTTTTGGCTACCATAACAAAGTTCAACAAATTGAGTGGTTTAGAACCCCAGAAATTTTTGTCTTACAGTTATGGAGGCCGGACATATCATAATACAGGTTAGTAAACCAGTATAGGGATTCTGCCAGTTGTTGAATTGTGTCAGTTTCAGATATATATTCCAGACCTGGGGAAATAATCACAGAGTCCACTTAACTTATTGTGAAATGGACTTGAGGTAAAACTCCACTGATCACCTAACCTTCATAAGCTTCTACTGTGATTGATGGCCCATATTTGGGTCTTCTGGGATTATTGTGAGATTAGAGCTAATGTCTACTAATCCCTGAAAAGTTTGACTGTTGCCTTTATTTTGTGGTGTAGTCATCTTAGTAAAACACTATAAATGCCTCTAGTGAAGGTTGAAAGATGTCTTGGTTATTTTTCTCTTTTCTGAAACAAAATATCTGACACTTAAAGTTTAAAGAGGAAAGGTTTATTTCAGCTCAGTTTGTAGAAGTCTAACCCTTAGTCGTCTGACTCCAAGACAGGTTGGCATGGTAGAGGGACATTGCAGAGGAGAAAAAGTCTGTGGCAGGCAAGCAGGAGCCAGCAAAGCAGAGAGCAAGCAAGCAGCAGCAGAAGCTGCAGAAGCTGCTCCTTTTTATTCCTTCTAGGCTACCCACCTTTCGGGTAGTGTCACCCATACCTGTAACTATACTAAACCAATCAGTGGACTCATTTAGTAATCACATACCCTTAATCCAAGCATCACTCACCCTAGATCCAGCCACCTCCCAAAACTCCAACCTATGAGCATATGAAGGTTTTATTTTGCATCTAGACACAGGCCAAAACAAAAGATTAACAGTTTGAGTTTCTGGCAGTACAGTGGCATTCTTCTTTAAGGAGACCCAGTCTCCTCTTCATTCACGGAATTCTGGGCAGTAAAAGGCTTAAGGCTAGGAATCGATTGAGAGATGATAACTGTGTTGTTCACATTTTAGACTTCTGTCCTCTTGCTCTGGAATTCTTCCTTCTGTCTAAGTCAAGTGGGAATTTATAGTCTGCCCATCTATTCCACATCTAGGGACACCGATGAACTAGTTAATGCTATAGCGCACTTTGAGTCATAATATTCTATTACTTCTTTAAATCTGGTGTTTACCTTGTCTTTGGGTATTAAGTGCTGTTACTTCACCTCTGCCACTTTGGAGTTCATTTATCTCCATTATATTTAGTTTTCCTGATTCACTGGTAGCAGTTCCTGCTATAATTTCTGAGCTACAAAGAACATCAACCATAAGAACAACCAAAGCTCTTCAAGGGTGCTCGGGTTCCCTTATAAATTTTATGTGTGCCAAAAGGTCTGTTCTCTGGGGTTGGGTGAGCAGGTTTTACATGTCAACTTTACTCTTTTTTTTCCCCCTGTATGTGTGACCAAGTAAAATTTGTAATAAACAAAGTTTGTAATATCTGTAGATAAATCCTTAAGTTGTATATAAAGAGAAACTTATTAGAACTTCATTTTATTTTTCTGTTGAATTGAGTACTAGCTACCACATATACAGCTTCTTTTAGACTTTCCAAATGTTAGCACAGTTAGCATGACCTTATCAGTAATCAGGTCATAATTTAGATCCCAATTATGTCAGCATCTCATTTGTTCAGGTGATCAGGAACTCTTACTTGTTTGCTTTAGCTTTTAGTTCATGGTTACATCGTAAGGTAAAAAAGATCTGAATAGCTCCTGCTGTCACAATTACAAGTGAGTATTTTGACCAAATAACCCCCCTGGCTTTTATTTATTTATTTATATATTTTATTTTACTTTTTTTTGCCCCATTAAGTTTATTGGTATGTTTAAAGCAAACAATACAGTTACATTCATCATTGGGATCTTGTACCTTTACATGTATGTCTTGGTTCTTATTTTTTCCCCATACACCTGGCCTCCCTTCAGCCCTTTACTCTTCCTTTTATTTATAAAGACTTTGTTTCCATTTTTTCCTTTTTTCACATTTTTTTCCCCTCCCCTTACACGTTCTCTTTAGACATTTTCATCCTGTTTCACACTATCAGTTATACCATTTGAACCTTATTTATTCACACCAGAGAAACTATTTGGTATTTACTCAAGTGTGTCCTATTTATTTCACTTAAGAGTATGGTCTCAATGTGTATCCATTTAGCTATAAATGTCTCTAGTTTCTCATTCTTTATGGCTGAGTAGTACTCCATTTTATAAAAAAAAGCACATGGGCATTTGGGTTGTTTCCAAGTTTTAGCTATTACAAATTGTGCTGCTATAAACATGGGAGTGTAGATATCACTGTGGTATGATTCTTTTAATAATTTTGGAAAGATACCCAACAGAGGAATAACTGGGTCAAATGGGACCTCTAATCCTAGTTCTTTGAGGTATCTCCATATTGATTTCCACAGTGGTTGCACAATTCTGCACTCCCACCTAGAGTGGAGAAGGGTTCCTTTCTCCCCACTCCCCTGACAACATTTGTTATTGGTTGATTCCTTGATAGCAGCCATTCTTTCTGGGTAAGGTGGAATCTCAGTGTTGTTTTTATATGTATCTCTTGAATAACCAGTGATGTTGAAGATTTATTCATATATTTATTTGCTGCTTTTACTTGTATTATCTGAGAAATTTCTATTCATTTCAGATGTCCATTTTTGAATTGGGTCTTTGTATTTGGGAGGTCTGATTTTTTTTTTTGAGTGCTTTATATATTCTAGATAGTAGTCCTTTGTCTGAGTAGTAGATGGTAAATTTTTTTTCCCACATTGTAGGTTGTCTCTTAGCTCTGTTGGTGATTTCTCTTGCACTGCAAAAACTTTTTTAATACAATGAGATCCCAGTTGTTGATTCTTTGAGCAAGTTTTTGTGCTGCTGAGTATTTGTTCATAAAGTCTTCTCCTATGCCAATGTCTTAGAGAATTCTACCTAATTTACTTTCCAGTAAGCTTAGTGTTTCTCTTTTGATTTTTAGATCTTTAATCCACTTGGATTTTAGTTTAATGCATGGTGAAAGATACAGGTCTAGTTTTAATGTTTGACAAGTTGAAATCCAGTTTTTCCAACACCATTTATTAAAGAGGCTGTCTTCCTCCAATGGGGTGGTTGGCTCCTTTGTCAAAGATGAGGTAGTTGAGTATGTCTGGTATTGTTTCTGCATCTTCTGATCTATTCTGTTGATCCTTGGGTCTGTTTCTTTGTCAGCACCATGCTGTTTTTAATCACAGTGGCTTTGTAGTGTAGTTTCAAAGTTGGAAATTGTGATACCCCCTGCCATGTCTCTGTTGCGTAGAATAGCTTTTGCTATTCTAAGTCTCTTCTGGTTCCAAATGAATTTTTTGAGTATTTTCTCTAGTTCTGTGAAATATACTGTTGGGATTTCAATTGGGATTGCATTGAATCTGTATAGCAGTTTTGGAAGTATGGCCATTTTCACTATGTTTGTTCTTTCCACCCAGGAGCAAGGGATGTCTTTCCATTTTCTTATGTCCTCTTCCATTTTTTTTTTCCAGAGTGCCATAGCTTTCAGTGTAAAGGTCTTTCTTTTGTCTCCTTCATTAGATTGATTCCTAGATACTTCATTTTTTGGATGCTATTGTGA